TACGATGTGACATAAAACCCGATACCTAAACATTATTATTGAAATTTTAGGCGAGTGGATCCAAAAGCAACTGATAACATGCGCTGCTCTGAATTCTTGATGTACCGTAATTGTATCATTTTTGTTTTTTGAAAATAGGTAATGGCGTAATTGTAACATTTGGTTATTTGGCATCCATCTAAGTCTTCATCATTATTTGGAATTTTCAATTGTTAAAGGACGTGCTGATCTTAGGTCTAAACGTAGGAATTATTCGCTGCATTTACACATCACGTAACTCAGTACTGGTACCTAAATTTTTTGGACACTAATTAATACACATTATAATTTAATATATTATATAATATTTATTTTAATTTAAAATTAAAAAAATAAACTTAAAGATGTAATTGTATATATATGATATAAAATTGGTTGAATCAATTGAATTTATACTACTCTTTTTAGTCTTTTATTAATTATTCTAATTCTTCAACTTTATGTAAATTAATTTAATGATTTTATATAACAAATGAATGACAATTGAAATTTTTTTTATGTAAATAAAAATAGCTGACAAGAATTACTTTTAAAAAAAAATTTAATTGCTATTTATTTATTATATAAAACTATTTGATCAAATTTTATCTAAAACTCAAATTAAGACAATTAAATTTGACTAAATGAAGTATATTTTAATAATTAAATCAAAAAAAGTGTTAAAAAGTATATCAAACTAAATCCGTATTAATCATTTTCCTTTTAACTTTCAAATGAAGAAGATTATATTACTATTGAGATTTTAGGGTAAATGGATCAAGTGCTATTTCCTCTATCATAGAATAATAGATGTTTTTTAATTTAAAATTTATTTTAATTTGAATTATAGTTATTTTTTATATTTTAAGAAAAATAAATATTTTTTATTTTAATATATAATTATTTCTTAATTTTAATTATCTATTTTATTATATTTTTATTTTAATTTTTTCAAAATAAAATAAATATAAATATAAATTATTCATAAATTTTTAATATGTACCAGGAGAGTACAAGTTTTATTTTGAGCCTCTCTCTAGGGTGGAGCTCTTTCTCTAATGTTAGGGATAGAGTTATGTTTTGGTTTTTGTTTTATGGTTTGTTTAGTTTGAGAAAAATAAAAAGAAGAGAACGGAAGGTGAGATAACAAAATTTTAACTAATATTTTGATTAATTAAATTAAAGGGTGTTTATTTTAATTTTTTTATAAATAATTATTAAATATTAATTTTAATTAAAAATGTTAGATATTTTAAATTATAAATAATAATAATTAATTATCATATATTAATTATCATCTATAAACTATGACTAATTTAAACTGCCTCTAAATAGTTGGGCAAATAAAATAATTTTACTAATTATAATAATTTTTTCTCCTACCTTCCGCTTCCTTGTCTCATTTCCCTTTCCTCCTCTCAAAGTAAACAAATTGTTAAGAGTTACTCTGTTTTTTCTTTTAATTATTCCTTAAACCCCCTTCCTTATCTCATATTCTCTTTCCTGTTATCGGTCTTGATTAAAACGGGAATTGGTGGGTTGCTGTGCACTGCCGGCAAGTCGATGCTTTTGGCAGCTGTTTTCTTAGTCATTCAGGAATCGAGTACGGTGGCTGAAGTTGTGGTTTACCGGATTGGGACTTTTTGCAGCGGAATTCGTTGGCGTGGTCCCTGTCCTCTTCCTGCCCTACGTGGTTTTGGGTTCGTTTGGACTTTGGACGCTGAAGCAGTGAAGCTTGTGTCTTTTTCTATTGCTTTTCAGTGGCTTGCATGTGGGTGGGTGGATGTAAGTATTTGCGCAAATAACGATTGTTTATGGGTTTAGAGACCAAAGGCTGGAGAGAAGGGGAAGCAGTGGGTACTCCACTCGCCATTGGGGATTTGACTTTGACACATCTTTCAGAATGGCGCCATTAAAAAATATTATATGCCCTCATAAAATATTATTATGAAATTTTCTAGCATATGTTTTTAGGGTGTATGTCAAATTTTATTAAATATAAGATTTTTAATTAATGTTATATAAATTTTTATATTAGATTCAGCTAAAATAAAATATTTATATTTAAAATCTAAAAAAATATAAATCTAATATAAAAATTTATACAAAATTAATTACAAATTTTATAATTAATAAATTTTAATATGTGCTTTAAGGATGAGGTTAAACAAACCCTATTACTATATTACATGGCAGGCATCCCCCACAAGCTAAAGGTTGATCTCTTATAATAGCTTATTTGCAGTTGATAGGGGCTACCAGTGACCAAACTATATGGTTTCTCCTATAGCTTGGATAACATGTGAGACTTCTAAAATGCCAGTGATGATTTACCTTAGGTAGTTTTTATATTTATTTTTTTAAATTACCCTTATACTGATTAGTCCTATTAATTTTTATTTTGTTTGCAAGATTGGTCCAATAATTGCTTGTACTAAGTGGCTTCTTGTTTGTCCTTGTCTAAATAATTTATGGGTGTTTTTATGGGAATAGCTCATGTGGCTTGATTTGGGTCCCTTCTTAAGAAGTATAACTTTTTTTAATAACATAATTATAATGACTCAATTCCTTATTGATACTATCCAGTTGAACCATTTGGTCTTACAAGTTGAAGATGCATCAATAGGCATAAAGGGTATTTACCTATATACCTAGTATCTCTCCCCTACTTTGTTAGCGTAGGATTTGCCTAAGAATGCCACATGTACCCTCCTTTTCAAAACTTAGCTTCCTCACTAAGGTTTGCCCTACTACCATTTCAGAGAACATACGAAGTGGCTTTAATATCATATGTAATGACCCAATCTATTATTGATATTATTTGCTTCAACCCATCAAACCTCATGGTTTTAAAACGGTTGCCTCCCTTTATACCTAACATCTCTCTTGTCGATGGTGGTACTTGTTCATTAGCATTGTCACCTTGTTGAGGTTTTAAGGATGTCTCATTAGTATTATTCTCTTGATACTTTTTCATTTACCTATACTCTATGTTTCATTAATTTTTGTTACTATGTTCTCTCTTAACTTATCTTTACATATATTATCATTATATTTATCTATTTATGTATATTTGCTATCACTTTCTCTCTATATTAGTAATTTTTTTTTCTCAGATTATCCTTCCATCATACAATTTTTTTTTGTCATTCCTTACACCTCCAATGATCATTTTATGTCTTTTTATATTCTAATTCTCTCTCTTTTTTTCATCTCTATTAGACATTGGAACCTTGCTTTACAAGTTGAACTACACTAAACTATAAAACAGAGACCATTGGATGGGAGGGGAGCCCCAAATATCAAGAAGCAACCTTCATCCAATGGTTAGTATAATGCAACTCGGTACAATTTAAACTACACTACGCTTTTTCGATTAAACATATTCTAGGTCAAAATATAAACTACATAGCTTT